CAGCCAGTTGTAGTTCTTCAAATGGGCAGAACAGTGCAGGAGCCAACCATACTATTTCCTTTGCTCATACAAGTAGTTCATATGCAGTTGTAAATCATGTATCCACCTCAAGTAAGGAGGGACCTCCCCGAATTATAGACTTAGGAGCATCTGAGCACATGACCAATATATCTACCCTCTTTAGTTCTTACCAATTGTGCTCTGGTAGAAATTGAGTCTCTACAACAATTGGTTCCCATATTCCCATTCCTGGGAAAGGGACAGTTAGAGTGACTAATGACATTACTTTATCCTCTATCTTACATGTCCCTAAACTCCACACTAATATTCTTTCAGTAAGTTCTCTAATAAAAAATTTGAACTGCTAAGTGACCTTTCTTCCTAGTAATTATGTTTTGCAGGATCTGGAATCAAAGAGGACAATTGGGAGTGGTCGTGAGGTTAATGGAGTCTACCTTCTGGATGAGATTCCGAGACATCAAGACCATCATGTTAGTAGCAGCATTAGTAGTGGATTAAAGTCAGTGAATCAGATTATGCTCTAGCATAATCGTTGGGGTCATCTTTCTTTCATTTCATTGAGGTTTTTGTTTCCAAAGTTGTTTGAATCTGTTCAATTGTCTAGTTTGGAATGTGAAAGTTGTTAGTTGGGAAAGCATTGTAGACATTCTTTTAATCCAAGTAATAAAAGAAGTTCCTTTGCTTTTGATATTGTTCATATTGATGTATGGGGTCCTTACCACATTTCTTCTATGGGTGGTTACCGTTATTTTCTCTTGTTTGTGGATGACCATATGCAATATTCTTGGATATATCTGATGAAATCACGTGATGAAGTACCCATTTCGATGCGATAGTTCTACTAAATAGTTCTCACACAATTTGGAGTGAGGACTAAAGTCTTCAGATCAGATAATGCTAGAGAATACTTTGAAAAGGACTTGTCCTCATACTTTTTGGAGTATGGTGTGATTCATTAGAGTAGTTGTGCATACACACCACAACAGAATGGGGTAGCAGAGAGGAAGAATAGACATATTGTGGAGGTGGCAAGGAGCCTTATGGTGTGTGCCTCAGTTCCTATTCGTTTTTGGGGGGATGCAGTTCTCACAATCGTGTATCTAATTAACCGTGTTCCTTCATGCACTTTGGGGTTTAAGGCACCTTTCAGCTTGCTTTTTCCAGATGGGGATATATTTCATATACTTTTGAGAGTTTTTGGGTGTGCTTCCTTTGTTCACATTCTTGGTCCTCATCGCAAGAAATTGGATCCTAAGGCCAAGAAATGTGTTTTCCTTAGGTATGCTCAAAACAAAAGGGGTATTGTTGTTATGATCCAGTGTCGGGGAGCAGGTTTGTTACTATGGATGTTACCTCTTTTGAGTCTACTTTCTTTTTCTTGAGTGGTTTTCCTCAGGGGGAGTGTTTTGGGAGGAGAACTCACAACCTGTCCCTCTTCCAATGTCATTTGTTCCTTCATCTGATCCACCTATTCCACCATTAACAACTACAGTCCCACTGCCTGATCCACTATGGCTAGCCTCACAGGTCTATCAGTGCCACCAAAAGAGGGTCGACTCTACACATGCCCAGATAGAAGAACCTGCACCATTCTCCATCAGTCCATCTGAGATCCCAGGTTCGGCCGATATAGTTCCAGGTATTTCCCTTGAGCCTGAGCCTGTTATTTTCCCTGATAATGATGTTTCTGTACCTAACATTGTTATGGCAACTAATCCATCTGATCTTGATCTTCCCATTGCACTCCGCAAAGGGAAGAGAAAGTGTATAGCCCATTGCATTTCACACCATCTCTTCTACAATGCCTTATCACCCTCCTACCATGCTTTCCTTTCTTCCTTGGATTTTGTGTCTATACCCAGGAATGTTAGTGAGGTTCTCTCCAAACTTGAGTGGAAAGTAGCTATGTAAGAAGAAATGGAAGCCTTGGTTAAGAATCAAACATGGGAAATAGTTGATCTTCCTACAGACAAAGAGAATCGGATGTAGATGGATGTTCACTATGAAATACAGGGCTGATGGTAGCATAAAGAGGTACAAGGTAAGGTTGGTTGCAAAAGGGTATACACAGACCTATGGTATTGATTACCTGGAGACTTTTGCACCAGTTGCTAAGATGAGCTTAGTTTGGATTCTCTTGTCCCTAGCAACTACCTATTCATGGCCTCTATTCCAACTTGATGTTAAAAATGCTTTTCTTAATGATGATTTGCAAGAGGAGGTATATATGGACATTCCGACTGGTTTTTATGAGAATGTTGGTAAGGGAAAAGTTTGCAGGCTGAAGAAATCACTTTATGGCTTGAAACAGTCACCTTGGGCATGGTTTGATAGGTTCAGAGGAGCACTTACTCGTTTTGGGTACACATAGACTTAGTCCGACCATACTCTCTTTGTAAAAAGGAGATAGGCACTCTTGTCAATATTGATTGTATATGTAAATGATATAGTTGTTACAGGAAATGATCTGAAGGGATTGATGCACTCAAGAAGTCACTACAACAAGAGTTTGAGGTCAAGGATCTAGGTGAATTGAAATACTTTCTGGGGGTTGAGGTTGCAAGGTCCAAGTATGGGATTTTCATCTCTCAGAGGAAGTATGCGTTGGACTTACTACAGGAGACTGGGAAGCTAGGAACTAAACCAGCTGATACTCCTATTGACCCAAATCATAGAATTAATGCTTTGGATGGTGAGTTGGTTAAGCTGGCTACTATATTTATGTATGACACGTCCAAACATCCCCTATGCTATCAGTGTTGTGAGTCAGTATATGCATGTTCCTCGGGTTTAGCACTGGGAAGCCGTTGAGAGGATACTTGCATACCTGAAGAAGCATCCTGACAGAGGAATTCTTTTCTCAGACCATGAAAATTTAAAGCTGGAGTCCTACACAGATGCAGATTGGGCAGGTTGCTTAGATGACAGGAGATCTACATCAGGGGTATGCACCTTTGTGGGAGGAAACTTGGTCTCATGGAAGAGTGAGAAACAATCAATTGTGGCTAGATCAAGTGCAGAGGTTGAATATAGATCTATGACTCATGGTGTTTCAAAACTACTTGGGGTGAGATCTCTACTAAGTGAGATTGGAATAAAAGTGAGGAGCCCATGATGTTATATTGTGACAATCAAGCTGCAATCAATATTACCCACAATCCAATTCAATATGATAGGACTAAACACATTGAGGTTGATAGGCACTTCATAAGAGAAAGGGTGACAACTGGAGAAGTCTGCTTACTTTATGTTTCCTTTGAACTACAATTGGCTGATGTCTTCACCAAAGGGGTTGCAAAGAATAAGCTTGAATACTAATCTACGCAAGTTGGGAATGTGTGACATTTACTCCCAACTTGAGGGGGAGTGTTGATATTTTAGACAAATCGTTTAGTCTATAGTGGCAGTTTTTTATTATTTATTGTTTAGATAGGAAGTGGAGACCACAACACTCTTGTTGGGTCCTTTTCTAGTAGTTACTTTAATTGTTTTATGCTATTTTATGTGTTAACCCCCTATAAGGACATATTTGTCTTTGTACTCTTTATTATTTCAGACTATAAATAATAGTGAAGAGGGTGGCCAGCATTATTGCTCTCTTTTCTCTCTCAAATCTCTCCTTTCTTCTCTTCTTCTTCAAGAAATATTCTTTTCTTTTACAGATTTTTTATTTCAGCACCTTTCTACTCATGAGTGACCTGGTTCAGTTGGCAGCGCTGTAGCGCTATTGATGTTATTTGTGGCTCCTATTAGCCTTAGAGAGGTCTGGTAGACCTGTGATTGTGTGAAACAGCAGGTACTGTGTTTTGTTTGGAAGTGTTTTAAACACATTAAGTGTTTTACCCCAAGGAGAAAACTTCCTAGGTAGTTGGGCATCTAATTTGGCCTATTAATGTCTAATGCATTAAGCTTAGGTTCTGTGGCCAAATGTAAACATGAATCTACAACAAGATAAAGATGATCATGAATCTATGGTGACAAAAAAAAAGCTTTAGATGAACCGTGGAGATCCATACTCCATGCTGTTTCTTTGTGAACTCGATGAGAAATGTGAACAAAGTGCTTGATACCCATTCGAAAATAGAGACAAACGCGATACTAGCCTGTTGAATGATGTCCTTTTGTGAGTTTAATGTCTTTCTCTGGCAATGATAATGGAAGAAATCAATGGAAATTTGCAGGAGCTCATGACTAGAGTGGTGGCAAGAGACTCTTCGCATGGTTAGGGTTAAAAAATGGAGAAGGGGGGGGGGTGGGGGTTGTATCGGGGCTTATATATCACATGTGCTATAGATGCTCACATTTTTAACAATAGAAAGTATCTAGCGCCCAGAAGCACGGAGTCTATTTGGGCTTTTATGTACTTTTGTTTTATATTTTTTAAAAGTACGAATCACGCTGATCCAAACACCAAGATTTACTTTTCATGCATTCATACTTTTTTTTTTTTTTTATCAGCAAGAAAATTTGGAATTATATTAAAATATGAATCTGGTTATTCCAAGGAAAGGGTAAAACCACCCAAAAGGACCCAATCCAACCCCAACAAGTTACAAGATTACAATAGTGCCCAAAACAATTGTTGCCTATATACCCCTTGTTTTGCTAAAGTATCTGCCACCCCAATTCCCTAAACTGATGCCTATAGATCCATGGCACAAGTTTATTACTCCTGGCCCAAGAAATGATCAGCTTTGAGTCTCCCTCTACTTCCAAGTGCTGAAAATTTGATTGCTTAGCAATTCTTAATCATTGCAGTAGTTCCATCAGTTCAGTCTTTAGTGAATCTACCAACCCCTAAGGTCCTGAAAACATAGCCAAAACTTTCCCTGAACTCATTCATACTTTTGAAAGCTTGTCCAAACAGTCCCTTAATTTCATGGGTTTTTTTTGTTGCTGTTTTGAACTTATAAAAGCCCCTATTGAATACTTTTTATTACCATTTCTTTGTCTGACTTCCTTCCTATCTTTATTTGCAGGCCTCTGAGATGTCACTTTCACAAATGGTAGAAGCACCCATCATTGCATGTCACATGCCTCAGGTAGGTACTGCAACCAATACTTGCTTTATCACCATTATCTTATTGATTCACCTAATTTTCCTTTGTGGTGGTAGGGCTATGAGCTATGTTGAAAGTGTTAAAATAATTGATTTTATGTTTGTTAGGGTCTGTTTGGCTGATTAAAGCATTTTTTATTTTAATCTATTATTGTACTATCACTTAGTAGGGGCACAAGGGTCATTTACCTTCTTATTTTTTCGCCCTATATATTATAATGAAGTTGGCGTTGCCAGTACTGTTCCATTGCCTCAACACTTCTTCCTTCCTTCTCTCCTCTTCTCTCCTCTTCTCTTCTCTTGCTGTAACCTTCAATCAGATTTATTGTCAAGATGGTATCAAAGTTGGCCATTGAATCTGGGCGATCAAGTGTCTTCTCCAAGCTACTGAATCTGGGTGGAACAGAGGAGTACATCTGGGTTGTTCGAATCAGACCTACAACTAGTGCCACCCCAATTTTTTTCTTTTCTCTTCTTCTCTTCCCTTGGTCGTGTACCAAGAGGAAAACGAATGGACCTGAACCACTGAATATTGGCACACCCTTGTGAGGTTTTTCCTCTGCTTGTTTTGGATCGTGTGATCCTGTACCTGTGAAAGGCTGCTGTAGGTCACGTATGACCTGTTTTCTCTACTTGTTGGTTTGATGCCTTGTGTGTAAGGATCTCCCCTTGTGATTATTGCTTGTAGACCTGCTGAGAAAACTAGTAGGCTGGGACTGCTACTCCATACAGGTCTGAAAATCAGATCTGTCATCTTGTTTATTTTGGAAATCGGTGCTGGTCTTGTGCTCAAATTAAGTCCAAAAACTGCAGTGTGGGTGGACTAATCACTTGTTGTGTGTGGAGTTTTTTGTTCTGATATAAGGAGGGATCCTAAGTTGAAGTTTTTTGATAAAAAAATTCTGTGTTGACCATGTCTTCTAAGAATTCTGCTACTTCAGGGATTTCTGGAAATCAAAATGGGGTAAGTGGGGGAATGGGTATGAGTTTCCCCATGACTGTCATTCCCTTTGATGGTCTGAATTACCTTGAATGGTCTAGGGGAATAAAACTCTACATCACTGCTAGGGGAAAAATAGGATACATCAATGGGAAAGTGAAGGAACTGAAGTGCGGAAGTGCTGAATATGATAGATGGAACCAAGAAAATGGTATGGTAATGTCTTGGCTCTTGGTTTCCATGCTGCCACAGGTGAGAAAAACTTTTATGTGGGCTGAAACTACTTGTGAAATATGGGAACAAGCAAAGTCCACCTATTCAGAGTAGAGACACTATGCCAAGATATACCAACTGCAAGCTGAATCGTCCACTTGTAAGCAGGGAGAAAGGAGTCTCTCAGTGTACTATTCGGATCTGACATCGATATGGAAAGAACTTGATCACTATTAGAATGTTAACTGGAAGTGTGATGAGGATGCAAAGGCATACAAATCACTTGTATCTCAGCAACAGGTATTTGCCTTCCTCTTGGGGCTGAATCCTTCATATGAGTCCATCAGGGTGCAGATCTTGGGAAGTAAAGACATGCCATCAGTTCAGGAGGTTTATGCGTTGGTTCAGTTAGAAGAAAGTAAAAGAAATGTGATGAATTCTATAGAGGGGGAGCCAGTTGCTCTAGCTGTTCGGGGAAGTTCAGCTACTAATGTTGGAGGTGGTTCTAAGAAGGGTGACTCTCAGAAGAGAACAGATGATAAGAGTAAGCTTGGGTGCACTCACTACTTGCTGGGATCTCCATGGAAAACCTAAATGGGCACAGGATTTGGGTAAGAAGTCAACAACTGATCAGGGAAAGAAACCAAGTCAGCAGATTCAGAAAAGGTATAACTCAGCTAATATGGCATCTCAAGAGACTGGTCTCATGGTAACTCAGGAAAGGCATCCCAGTTCTGACCCTAAGGAAGAGATCATCAACTCCTTCCATGACCATTTGGAGTTATATGGTAGGACTCTTTTCCAGATGGATACTGGTCCTACTCCTACCTCTTTTGCATCTGCTTCAGGTAACACGACCACTGCCTTCCATGTGTCATCTTGTACCTCTGATTCCCCTTGGGTAATTGACTTTGGAGCCTCAAATCACATGACCGGTAAGTCAAATTTATTTCAGGCATACAATCTTCTCTCTGGGAGAGATAAGGTGAGACTAGCTGATGGCTCTTTCTCCACCATAGCCGGCCAAGGAACCATATCTCTCCCACTCGGCCTTACCCTTTCTAA